ACCATGTTTGTCTATTATTAGATAGGATGATAGAAATGTATCTAGAACAGTGATGGCGAACCTATGACATGCGTGTCAGAGGTGACACACGAAATCATTTTTTTGGTTGATTTTTCTTTGTTAAATGGCATTTAAATATATAAAATAAATATCAAAAATATAAGTCTTTGTTTTACTATGGTTGCAAAATCAAAAAATTTCTATATGTGACATGGCACCAGAGTTAAGTTAGGGTTTTTCAAAATGCTGACACGCCGAGCTCAAAAGGTCTATTATCACTGATCTAGAACAAAGACTTACCTTTGCCAAATTTATACTTCAAACATTTTGTCAGTATATGGTACATGATGAAGTCACAATGCAATTTATAAACCTAATTCATGTCATTGTTTTCTTTTAAAAACACAGTGTTACTTGTAAAAACTAAATAAAATCCTGATCATTTAAGAACTAATCGTTTTTACTTTTAGGGTATAAATATATAAATAAGGTAAATCTATTTTTATTGATATTTTTGTCCTTAGCCTTTCAATTATTGGAGAGGTGTTTAAATTTCTATCTTTTTATTTTTAAACATTTTAAAAGTATCTTTATTGTTGAAAATTATACAGATATACCCCTTTTTCCCCATTGATCCATTCTAGCCCACTCCCTCCACCCTCTCCCCCTGCCCCAGGCCTTCACCACACTATTGTCTGTGTCCATGGGTTATGCATATATGCATATAACTTCTTTGGTTAATCACCAACTGTGCCACCCCCACCCTTGCCTTCCCTCTGAGATTCATCAGTCTGTTCCTTGTTTTTCTCTGATTGGCTTATTTCACTTAGCATAATATTCTCCAGGTCCCTACATGCTGTCTCAAAGGATAAATGTAAGTTATGAAACCATAAAAATCCTGGAAGAAAACATAAACTTCTCTATATCTTAATCTATATTTCTGTAGATTTGTCTTATTTTTTTAAGTTCTTTTATTAATTCATACACATATGTAATTATTATGTCTTCCTGGTTAATTGTTAAATAGTCAGGTTTAGGTCTATGATTTATTATTTGATTTATATGTGTCCTAGTTTCTTCCTAAGTTCCTTCTTTTCTTCCTTTCCTTTGGACTAATTGAATGTTTCTAGTATTTCTTTTTTTTTTCTTTCTCTCTTTTGGCTTTTTAGCTGTATTTCTCTGTAGTTTTATTTGTCTGTGGTTAGAACATAATATGCATTCTTATCACATTCTATCTAGATACATTATACTACTTCAGATTTAAAAAGTAATAAACTTACAGCGATGTAATTCAATTTACACCCACCTTATCCTTTGTGCTATTGCTGCCATACATTTATATTTTATGAACTCCACAGAAAATGCCATAGTCTTTTATTTAAACAATCATTTGTCTTTCAAAGGTACAAATAGGGAACTAAGGACAGTGCAAGAGTAGGTCTTCCTTCCTCCTGCTGCTGGCACTGGCTTCCCTCTGGCACCTGGGCCTTGGGCTTTCCTCTGGCACAGGGACTCAGGCTTGCCTCTGGCCACCGGCACCTGGGACACAGGCTTCCCTCGCAGTCCTGGCTTCATCCAGAAGGACTTCCAGAAGGATGTCCGATCTAATTAGCATATTACGCTTTTATTATTATAGATATTCATCACTTTAAAGATGACATTATATTGTCTTTTGCCAAGTATTTTTTTATGAGGAGAAGTTGACCATTATTTATACTTTTGTTTCTTTTTGTTGTTGTTTTGTTTTAGTGTGAGGATTGCCTTTTTAAAATTCTCTTTTCAGTTTTTTAAATCCTCAATTTTTTTTTTTATTGAATTTATTGAGGTAACATTGTTTAAAAAAAATTATACAGGTTCAGGTGCACAATTCTACAACACATCATCTGTACACTATATTAAGTATGCAACAACCCAAGTTAAATCTCCATCCATCACCATTTATACCCTCTGTACCCTATCCCAGCTCATACCTCTTGTCCCTGCAATCACCACATTGTTGTTTGTATCCATAAGTTTTTTTCTCTTATTTTATTTTTATTTTTTCTCAATCCTCCTCCTAATTCAGCACCCCCTCCCATAGCTGTCAGCATGCTCTCCATCTATGAGTCTGTCTCTATTTTGTTTGCTAGTTTATTTTGTTCATTAGATTCCACATGTGAGTGAAATCATATGGTACTTGTCTTTCTCTCATTGGTTTATTTCACTTAGCATAATACTCTCTAGATCCATCTATGCTGTAGCAAAGCGTAAGATTCCTTATTTTTTATGCCCCAATAGTATTTTACAGTGTAAATGTACAACCTCTTTGTATTTCTTTTTATTTTTTTAATTAAATCTTTATTGTTCATATTATTACAATTGTTCCTCCCCCCCCATAGCTCCCCTCCACCCGGTTCCCACCCCACCCTCTGCCCTTACCCCCGCCCCATTGTCCTCATCCATAGGTGCACAATTTTTGTCCAGTCTCTTCCCACATCCCCTACACTCCTTTCCCCCCCCA